CGACACACCTACCGTAATTTACACAATTCACGTTAATCACGTTAATTCTAACAGCACCAGCCTGATCCAAGCCTCCATCTGCTTCGGTCAATCCTGACGACACTTGAGCCATCTACAGAGGAACTCATCGACTGATTACTCGTAACAGCAATGCCAGTATGGTTTTAGAAAAAAAATGAGAAAATTTTGGAAAAATATCGTAGTTTTTCCCACACTTCTACCCAAAATCGTGTGTGGGGATTCTCATAATGTAGTAAGGAAATTTACGAGCTCACTTTAAAAAACCAAAAATACATTCCCACACTATCGAATGCATTTCAAACTTCACCAACCGGCACCTGCTCCTACGTATTTATCCCTTTCCATTTTCAATAGAAACTTTTCTTTCATAGCCACCTCGTATTTATGTCTGAGTTCTGTCAAAGTCGGCTCGTACTGCTCATAGTGCGACCGTAGTCGCTTGAGATCCTCTGAAAAAGACTTCACCCAGGGACCAATCTAACTCGGGAAAAAAGTAAAGTTCCCCAGGAGAGGAATGTTTACATGAGAAACTGATTGAAGAATGCCCCCCCCCTGGGAATATTATAGATTTCCTGATACCGCACCAAGCCCTACTTATAATCTTCTCCTTCTCCTGGACGACCCTCCTATGATGCATTCTATGGAAATCCCTTTGTTTTCGCAGCTTATCAAAGAGACCCCTGGAACGAACAATGCAAATTCTGCAAAACTACACTTCTTAAATTTCAAATTCGGCAAGTGAGAAAATAATGAAAATTTGATTTTCGCAGAGTTGAAGTTCAAATTCGAAATTAAAATTCGATTTTCATAGACTGTTCGAAACAAAAGTTCAAATTCGTGAATGAAATTTATGAATTCGGAAACGCAAAAGTTTAACATAAGATCAATTTCCAAATTCCTCACTTCGCATTTTCCGCCACTATTCGTAATTTCTTCATCTCCGTTTCCTGAGCTCGAATGACATCCATCAGATGTTGACTACGGAGGTACCTGATGAGGTCAACGATCAGTGTGGTAATATATGATCGCTTTCTTCAGTTGACCCTATGAGTTTCCTCACTAACTACAGGAGTTCATATACAAACTAGGGTAGAAATGTACAGGAACCCGCAACAATTTTGGAAAATTTCCTCAGAATCACCATATTGTCACCAACATATGTGGTCCACTATGTGCATATTTTCCCACACTGTCAACGATAATTGTTCAAAACAGTTCTCCCATTATCGAGGTATTCGTGGAGGCATGATGAAAATACACGATTACGCTCATGCTTGTCGTTATGTACGGGTCTACTATCTATGATAAATTATTATTGGGCGCGCCTTGATTAAATTAAACTCCTAAACTTTCAAATAAACTGGGTATAATATTAATTTTCTTGGCATTTTATTAAAGCCATGGGTAAAACGTTAACTAAAAAGGTAAAACATTAACCAAATGGGTAAAAAATTAAATTTGTCGGTAAAAAATTAATTTGACCTAGAAATGCTGTAGTCGTTACGTTCATCAGGTCTACAAGCGGTAATAGCTCCTCTCATTGAAGTGGATATACAAAGACCTTCAACGACTACCACCATGATGGTGACACCCTTAAAATGGATTCAGCTGGGGGCCTTTATGGTAACATATGAGCTCAGAACTTTACTAGGACTAGTCAGGTTGTCAGCTATTATCAGTGATGACCTGCCGGTGTTGGAAGAATAATACGTCCGCTGAGTTCTTCAACTCAGTACACAAACCAGTGTGGTAAAATTGGCACATCATCAACCACAAGTGTTGGAGACAATATCTAAACTCTGAGGAAATTTTGTAGAATTTTCTCTATTCGAATACGAACTCCTATGATTAGTGAGGAAACTATTGAGCTCAGCTGAGGAAAGCGAGTACATATTTTGCAGCACATGTTTTGCTCGCAAACTTTTCATATAGTCCGCAACACATGTACATATTTTCCCACACTCACAAGTCAGGAACGGCATCATCCACGGCTGTCGCATCGAGCTTGCCAGATATCTGCATGCCATACCACTCGTTCTGGAACGCATCCAACGAACGTTTAAGACCGTGCCTGAGATAAGCCATGAACTGCATATGCAGCGGCTGCATTGCAGCCGCACCCTTACTTGATGAAGAAGTTGCGAATAAAGTCATCAACTAGCGGTGGTCGGACTCGTACTGCTGCTGTCAGCGGAGATCTCTTCTCAGTAGAGGCGACTACAAATGAGCAGCCTCATACCACCCTGGTGCAGGGACCCATCTAACTTTGAGAAATAACGCCATAACATAATTTACATGGCAAACTGATTGAAGAATGTGTTCCTAGCCATAGGTGGAAAATTCAAAATGAGTCCGGGAACATTTAGATTCCCTGACCTACCACTTTCCCGCAGCAAAGCGTCGATATCTCCTAGGGGGTCGTCTTTATCAAGATCGTCTGGAAGAATATCCAACATGATATTAATAAAAACGACCGATGCAAACGACCTTGATCAAAGCCATCCTCAGAGATACGCTCGAACACTTCGTCATCGTCATTGCCGTTGATGATGGACTCGAGGAGCTCCGGGGAAGCGTCCATGGCTGAGTGTAGATCGTCAGAGCTTATACCGTTCTAGCTTAGTTACCTTCAATTAGGTCTCCACCTAGGTTAGCAGTAGTAGTAGTAGGAATAGCCTGTGCCATGTGTAGACTTGAGTCAAGACCTGTGGTACGACTTCATTAACACTATATAACGCGACACACAGGGAGGGATCATCCGTGGAGACAACAAAGAGCTTCAACTACTGCTGATGACTACGACGAGGCCCGAGGTGGTACCAGATGGTACTGCTGGCTGCCACGTTGAAAAGGTAGAATTGATATTGGAGTGGTATGTGCTGTGCACCGCTCTCAGTCATCAGTAGGGAAGTCATGTCGGATCACACAACCAGGCAAGTGGCGAGGAATAGGGAGTTAATCTTAATCTTTATCTATCCTACACATCTGGGCTCAGCGAGAGCAACGAATTTCATGCACAATCGTTTCATAAACAGGAGGCGACGCGAGAGTACTATTGATGATTACGAGTGTGCCCATCCATCACCTGTAGAGGATCGATATTTTCGATTAGTATCTCAAGTGGTGGACAGTAGATGGACCCACGATACAGTCTACCAGTACCGCATATGCTCACGTCGCATAGTCACACTATACAGATAGAATCTGTTATGAAAGCAACCAGAGACCCCAGCTGTTATACGGATGAAAGCTGTTACCCTAGGCAACCAGAAACCCGAACTGCTGAGAGCGAGCGACAAACCTGCTTGGATTTTGCATATCACCCTCAAAGGTCGCATGTAAGTCGTTAATTAGCAGCTCTGTTTATTTGTTTGACTGGTTAAGGCTGTTGATGGTCAACGTTTCACTTGCGACTTGTATTATCTACCATATCAAACTCCGTGTATAATTCTGTTTCCACCAAAGAATTAGCAGTTAGAACTGAGTGAAGTACTAAAGTCGAGGAAAGAAGAGCAACTCAAACTGTTGAAGTCTTAGGAGAAAAACTAAGAACCGCTCCCCGAGCCGGATCAGTTTCCCGAACACACTTTGAATCACTTTGAGTGCATCATGCGCTGGCGACTAAGGAGAGGATAGAAATGTCGACACCGCCGGGGATCGAACCCGGGGTCTCTCTTGGACCAACAGGAAGACTTACCGAGAGAGCAAGTGGCTCTTGGCATGAAGCGCTCATAACTCGCTATAGGCAACTACTGTAGGAAACTCACTTCCACCTGGTCTACCTAGTACTAGCTCAGTGTGTTTTTGAATACTAAGGACTTTGTTCGCTCTTGAGATGATCTTGATTCGATATAGGCATTTTTCAAACGTGCGTAACAATTAGTTTCATAAGTTTTTTCTTGTCCGTTTCTCTGCGCCGTGGGTATTATTCTAAAAAGTGAGTTTCAGTGGAATCATGAGCAGTGAGTTTCAGTAGACACATTAACCTTCGCACTGTAGTATAGCTACTACTACGTACCATGGTTCCGCCCGTCTCTCGGCTGGCTCTGTTTATCTGTTTGACTGGTTAAGGCTGTTTCACGTGTGAGTCCTATGATCACTTCGTGTACAATTCTGTTTCAACAAAAAGTAGACACAGTGTGGTTGCTACCAATGTGGAAAAGAAGGCACAGTCAACTGCATGTGTTGGTGAAAATATGAAATCTCCGAGGAAATTTCGGGAAATTTTCCTTGGTTTCTGTACACTTCTACACTTCCAAATTCGCATATGAACTCCTATGATACGTGAAAGCGCACCGGTTGAAGATATAGGATGACTTTGGGGGGAAGTCAGATGCCATGCGCGCTCAGTTTGTGTTCCGGCTCATGGGACAGGACCAGTCGTCTTCAAGTGATGATGATGCTGCTGCTGCTAACACCAACGCTCCGTCGGCTTACCACAGGCTCACTGAGAAGGAGTTGGATAAGTTGGTCTACGCTCAGAATAATGATGATATTGATATATACGATTTGAGTATTAACCGCGAGTTGAAGGCGTTGTTGGTGAGCATCAATCATGATGATACTCCTAGTAGCAGTACGAGGAGTGCCACTGCTGGGGCTGCAACAGCTGGCCAGAGGAAAAAGTTGTCCGCTAGTGCGGCTGAGTTCATCCCTGGGCAACTCTATGGTGAATCGGTTAAGAAAAATACGGTTAGTAAAGAGGAGTTGGCGAAGAAGTTGGCATTGCAACAGAGAGTTGAGGCTATCACTAGAGCTTCTAATGCGATACCAGCTGGGCATAAATTGTGGAGGTACAAGGACCCGAGGGGAACTGAGCGTGGACCGTTTACGTTTGCTGAAATGCGGAATTGGTATGAAAAAGGATATTTCACTCGCGAGCTGGAAGTTACTATCAGAGAGGGCGGCCCGTTCATTAGACTTGGTGAGCTCTACGGCCCTGGGCAGCAGCCATTCTCGAATAAGCTGAGCGAAGCGCAAGTTATTGTGACATGTGCTGCCCTGATCTCGAGTAGAGCTCGGAGGAATCCTGCGGCTACCACGCCAGCCCCGACTCGTTGATGGAGCTTTGCGAGTTTCTATAATCGTTGAAAGTTTTGTGGTTGTTGTTGTTGTTGTACTATGGCATCATCTGTGGACAAATAGCATTATATCTTAATACCAATTGCAGGCGATAGCTGTTGTGTTATGGGAGTTCACATTATTGTGGTATGCCGCAGAGCGGAAAATAAATTTTATTGTTATTCATGGGATCATATGTAGAGTGTCTTGATAATGGTTAGGAATCATCGAGTGAACGCAGCGAAGTTATATGTGCACGCCAACGCAGGAGTTTCTGTATTTTCCGATGAGATAGTAGTCACTACTAAGTAGTGTGCATGGTCACCTTAGGGTCTGTCATTAGTTTGTTGGAGAAGTCTAAGAGTATCAGTGTGGTTGGCTTGTTCTCATATATAATAAGAGGGGAACCTAGTTTCGCTGTGACGTAATTAGCTGAATATTGATATCATAGACTATCTTGTACCTTCGATGAACTCCATGGTGCCTCACTCTCCTCAATTCGATAAGTTCCAGCGGTTACGGTATGGCTGTATGTTGGCATTCGGGTGGTTTAGTCGGTGAAATCATTAGAATAATGGTCGGCTTGTACATGATTCGTGTCGATCAGCCTAGTTGTGTAGTTGTCCACGGCGACCATGCTTACTCGCTGTTTGCCGACACTTCAGAAGGTCACTGCTGCTGGCTTCCATAAAATGAAGTTCCGGACTTTTCCGCCAGCCAGAGTTGCCATCACCGGAGCTCGAGGCTCCGTTGGAACTAATTTGGCATTCAGAATCGCTATGGGAGATACGGTGTAATACAATCCGGCAATCGCAACTTTTTGCCAATGTTGCGGGTTTGCCAAATGCTATAATTCCTGACAGTCTCACTTTTTTGCTCTTTTGTATGTGCTGCTTTCTCAGTTACAAAGTAGCAACCACATTTACAACCTAGCAATTTCTGGTATAGGTTTTAGCAACCAAATGTTGAAACTAGCAAATTCGAAAGTGTTTTCCAGCAAGTCGCCCTTTTTTGCTTTTTTTTGCTGCATTGTATATTACCCCGGAATGTTTTACACCCTGGCACTTTTGCCCAAATGTGCTTCGCCCGCACATTTTCGTTATTCTGGCAAGTTGTGCTCATTTGCTGTTTAATATGTTTCGCGTTGTAATAATATAATCTGGCACCTTTTAAGGTTTGCTCTTGTGTGATGTTCCTGCATGAAATATACAAATTGGCAGTTGTCGGTATGTGACAATGCTGCGCTACTTTTATGTTTTGGCTATTTGCTCTCTTGTAACTTACGCCCTGCGGGAATATATACTAGCGTTTTGCTCACTCGCTCAAACTGCGTCTCTGTTAGCGTTATTAGCAAACTTGTCATTTTGCATTATTCGTACGAGCAATATACAATCGAGCAAACATAGTTATGGGATAGCGTTTCTCGTTCGATTACGGTATTACGCCTTATATCTTACGCTCCAGAACATGTTCATGCCCTGTGCACTTACTAAGTATCTTATCTATCAAAGGTGTCACACTTTGTGTCTCACTTCAAGTGAGTCACTTAGTATCGGGTCAAAGCGTGATAGCACTCTAGTGAGATATATCATTCACTCCGAAGACAGCGCGAGTGATGATCAATGCTGAATACCAAACACATGATTGCTCTTGCATGTCGCGATTGAATCAGATGAGATAACAGTTAAAGTGAGTCCCATCTTCGAGTATCCTCTCTCTTTTAGCATCGTATCAGTTGTGTCTCATGGTTTGGTACGATTGTACGTATTGACGACTCAACAATACCCAGAAGTTAAACCATAAAGTAGGCATTACGTAAGTATTACGGGCAACTTTGACATTCTACACGAGAAACATTCACTCATGGGCAGTGGCACTCATCGGATCGTCTTCGTGGAGCTATTGGTATGGACTTCGCAGAGATGCCGAAGGATTGTACAGGGGAAACGCAACACGGACTAAATTACTGATTATGAACTCTACAGCCCTCCGCACACAATATTCACTCCCGGGCACCACTAGAGGGCCTTCATAGAGATACTATTAACGGCTACAAGAGAGCATATTGAGAACGTCCAAATTTTGCTCTACCATCACCGAGACAGCTACTTGTAGCAACTACAACAGCTGGGCACCACTGACTCAGTGGCACGGAGGTGCCTACCTTACTGCGAGTGCGTACATGGTCGCCAGTCTCCAGTGATGGGAGAAACTACTTCGATTCCTCACGCTCGTCCTCTTTCGACCGCTTCTGCTGCAATTCTTTTGCCGCGTGGCTCTCATACTCCTCCACCAATGAAATAGCATTGTTGTTAGGCGAGTACTTTCGCATTATCTCCTCACATCTGGTACCTCGGGAGAACTTGTTCAGCACCGGGTAGATGCGGAGTGCTAACTTAGCACTGCTAAGCCAGCCTGCCTCTTTCCTCGATAGTCTCGTTCGCGAGGGGCATCTTTCTGCAATGACCAGTATTTGCTCAGACTACGGAAGAGCATAATAGGCCATGTAAGGATCAGGATGCGTGTATGAAAGTCACGACATCTCGCATGGGCACCACTGGGGTGCCTGCAATACAGCACTGCACTGCAGATGAGTGATCCGTGTTGATCCAAATAAGTGATCTCGGATCACTCAGTACGAGTGATTCCGCCCAATACGAACTACCATCTAAACACAAATCCGCTCCCTCGTCCTTCTGTGACCATGTGCGGATTGCAATGATGTGGAAAATATGAAAATCCAACGAACCCTTAACGAATCTAAGTCTTTACTAACGACCTACTACCACTTACAATAGTCCATCCATCATCCTCCCAGTGCTGCAACTATACTTATCTATATCGACAGAACCAAAGAACTTTGCGAAATAGTCACCACTCAGAGACTTCGGAACTATAATGCAATGCTCAACACAATCACCAACAACCCACCAAGGTTCGACTCTCGCGTGCGAAATTTCAATTTCTTCTTCCGATTATAAAACAGCAAAAATTTGCTCCATTGCGGGGTTGCCCATTCGTAAAGCGGCAAATTGCTCCTCTGAAAAGTAGCAATTTGCTCAATAGCAGAAGGGGCAATTCATTGGTTTGCCCCTTTTTTGAGCAATATTGCTCAATTTTGTTACATAGTAGCACTTCACATAGCAGCAACTTTTGTATATTGTAGCAAATTTCTGAAATATAAACAAGCAAACGATATTCATTCGAGCAGTTTCTGTTATACAAAACAGCAAATTTGCGCATTTGTAAAGTGAATTTTGCTACTTTGCTCCTTTGTATATCAGCCATAGCGTTTTTACACACTAGCACAACAGCAAAAGCCGCAGAAAATATACATTCCAGCTAATTGGCACTTTTTTGCTATTTGCTCCTTTGCTATTTTGTAAATGAGCCGGGAGATATGCTCGGTAGTGCAAGAAGAGAAATCTTCGCTGTGCGCAGGATGGTATCTTCTTATGTTCATGCGTGCCAGGTATGAATCAGCCTGTGATTCTTCATCTGTATTCTCGTGACCGTGAAGCACTGCGTGGTCTGGTACTTGAACTGGAGGATACATGTGCTCCTCTGCTGGCCAAGGTCGTAGCTACTGACAATTATGAGGAGGCGTTTGGGGATGCTGATTACGCCTGTTTGGTCGGTTCGCCGCCTCGTCAAGCTGGTAAGTGAGAGGAGTTGGTTTTGTGTATGGGGGACGTTTTTGTAGGTATGGAGCGCTCGGATTTACTCCAAGTGTCGGGGGCTTTGTTTAAG